AGAGAGAGAGAGAGAGAGAGAGAGAGAGAAATCCACCCTAAAATTTGTATGAAATCTTAAGGGGTCCCAATTAACCAAAACAAAGTTGAAAAAGAACAAAGACCAATGGAACAGAATATAGAGCTTAAAAATAAACTTTAATATATTCCAACAAGAAGCCAAGATCATTCAATGAGGAAAGAACAGCACTTTCAACAAATGGTGCTGGGAAAACTGGATATCCATTTGCAAAACAATGAGGTTTGGCCATTTCCTAATATCATATACAAAATTAACAAAAAAATGGATCAAAGAGCTAGAGTTACAAAACTCTTACAAGAAAGCATAGGATAAAAGCTTAATGACACTGGATTGATAGTGATAGTGATTTCTTAAATATGACACCAAAGGCACAAAAAGAAAAAACAAACAAATTGGTCTTCATAAAAATTTTAAAATCTTATGCATCCAAGAGCACTATCAACAGAGTGAAGAGGCAACTCACAGAATGGGAGAAAATATTTGCAAATGATATACTGTCTATCATGTGATTAATATCCAGAACATAGAGAATTCCTAAAACTTAACTATAAAAATAAAAACCCAATTCAAAAATGGGCAAAAAACTTTAAGACATTTCTCTGAAGAAGATAAACACATGGCCCATAAGCACATGAAAAGATGCTCAACATCACTGATCATTAAGGAAATGCAATTCAAAACTACAAGATATTACCTCACCAAAAAAACAAACAATAACAACAAAGGTGTGGATGTGGAGAAAATAGAATCCTGTGTACTCTTGCTGGGAATGTAAATTGGTAGAGCTGATGACAAAACAATATGGTTGTTCCTCAAAAAATTAAAAATAGAATTAGCATATGATCTAGCAATTCTACTTCTGGGTATATATTCAGAATTGAAAATATGGTTTCAAAAAGATATTTGTATATCCATGTCCATAACAGCATTATTCACAATAGTTAAAACATGAAAGCAACTCAAGTGACCATCAACAGATGAATGAATAAAATGTGGTATATACATACAATGGTATATTATTCAGCCTTACCATTAAATAAAATAAATGATTAGCTGCACTTCTTCCTTTCTCCCTATAGCCATAGCCACACTCTTTTTCATATAATATAGCAGTTCCTCCCACACAGAAAGTATAAAAAAAAGAATGTACTTCCTATTCCTTGACTTTGGGCTTGGACATGTGACTGACTTTGGCCAATGGTTGTTTGTAAATGTGATGCAAACAAGACCTCTTGAGCTGCTAGGAAAAGAACGTGCCCAGCCAGCCTACAGGTCCCAGAAAGACAAATGTGGGGCAGAGCCATCTCAATGGACCTGCTACATAAGTACAGCCAACCCAACCATCTGCAACTATAGGAAAAAGAAATTTTTATTTTTACCCGGGATGGAGAGTTTGTGGTAGTTTGTTAAACATCATTATTGTGGCAAATGTTGACTGATATAATTTCAGTTCAAGGAATCTACACTAATAAAGGAGAAAGATGCAAATTGGCCATACCTCTGTGACGCCCACCAGCCAATCAAGAGTATGTAAATTAACCCAACAAAGATGAAGGGTTAATTTGCATACACAGGTGCCCAGCGGCCTGGGTCCCAGGAACATCCTCAGGACTCAGACCGGGGACACAAAATGGCGAAAGAATAGATGGACGGGTTCTGAGCCTTGTCCCAAAGCAGAAAGAGAGAGTAGCTAAGGGTCACGCTTGGAGAGTTTGTTAGCAAGCTAAGGGATAGGCGAACTCCAGGAGAAGGTGAAGGACTGCTGATCAGGGTGCCCCTGACAGGGAAGCGCCCATGGCGGGGCTGGGTCCTCTCCCAAAGCTACCTACGGGCTTGGACTGGGAAATCTCGCCATCTTTAAAGGAAAAGTGGATCTTGTTAGAGGCCTGAATATCCACAGCCGCAGCAACCACCAAGCAGCTGTGAGCCCCAGAAAGCCGGTCCTAGGTGGTGTGAACACTTGGACTCAAAGGAGCCTCCACCGCAGGACTCAGCCCGCTCTATGACTGAATGCCATATGTAGGTCCTGAGCAGCCGAGGTCCCAGAACGCTCCCGGCCAGGAGTGGCCTATGGGCGCCGGCACCAAGTGGTCCCCGGGACAAGCAGCCTGGCGCCAAGCACAAAAAGGCTCAGGGTGGGGCAGGGCGCTTGCAATATGTGCCACTCAAAGTGGCCTAGGTCCACACCCCCCAGCCTGGCAGACATAGCGAAAGCAGGGCTACCCCAGTGTGTGCCCCTAGCCCAGTGAACACAACACAAGAGATCCTCTGCGCATGGGCTGCAGAAGAAACACCTTTTTTCTTTAATTTGTTTTATTGATTTTTTTACACAGAAGATGGGAGAAGGATAGACTATCAGAAACATTGATGAGAGAGAAACATCGATCAGTTGCCTCCTGCACATTCCCCACTGGGGATGTGCCCCATCCAAGGTACATGCCCTTAACAGGAATCAAACCTGGGACCCTTCAGTCTGCAGGCTGATACTCTATCCACTGAACCAAACCAGTTCGAGCATAAACACCTTTTCTGATCGTTCATTAGCTAAGCTCCCTGCATGCCCCCACTTGAAGTGTTCTTGGTAACTTGGGTTATAAGAATCCAAGAAAGTGATCTAGGGTTTTCCCACCACATACCTGGAGGAAAAAACAAAGGTCCACTGCTGGAGGGGCTAAGAAATGTCATATCCTGCCCTAGCCTGCTTGGCTCAGTGGATAGAGCCTCGGTCTGCTGACCACAGGATCCGGGTTCGATTCTGATCAAGGGCATGTTTCCAGGTTACAAGCTCCTCCCTGGCCGGGCCCAGGTCAGGGCTCATGCAGGAGGCAACCAATTGAAGTGTCCCTCTCACACTGATGTTTCTCTCTGTGTCTCCCTCTCTCTCTTTTCCATACTCTCTAAAAATCATGGAAACATATCCTCAAGTGAGGAAAAGAAAGGAAAGAGAGAGAGAGAGAGAGAGAGAGGAGAGAGAGAGAGAGAGAGAGAGAGAGAGAGAGAAGGAAGGGAAGGGAGGGAAGGGAGGGAAGGGAGAAAAGAAAGGGGAGGGAGGGAGGGGAGGAAGGGGAGGAAGGGAGGGAGGGAGGGAGGGAGGGAGGGAGGGAGGGAGGGAGGGAGGGAAGGAAGGAAGGAAGGAAGGAAGGAAGGAAGGAAGGAAGGAAGGAAGGAAGGAAGGGTCATATCCTATGAAAGACACATCTTGAAAATGCCTAAAGAAAGTTGTCATTTTTTCATGGTGAAGGGACTGGAGTCCCGTGTTGATAAAAACACTTTGGTGGCTGCGGTGGCTGGCAGTGGCTGTAGCCGTGGGGTGATAGGGCTGGCCTTTCCCTGATCGGCCTAGTTGCCTCCCGCAGAGGGAGCCAGACTGCGGCAGAGGCCTTACTGACCTAAGCTGTCAGTAGGACATCTCCTGAGGGCTCCTAGTCTGTGAGAGGGGACAGGCTGGGCTAAAGGACCTACCCAAGTACACGAATTTCATGCACTGGGCCTCTAGTTAAAATATAAAGGTAAAAAGTAAAACTTTAAAAAATATTAAATTATTTTAAATCTTCATGATTGAGAAGTATTTCTTAAATAAGATACAAAACACAAAACATACTATAAGAAAAAAATTGCCAAAATAAGTTATTCTGCTCATTGAGATACCTCAAAAAAAGTGAAAAGACAGCCCACAAAATGGAAAAAGACCTGCCATACATACCTCACAAAGGATTATACCAGGAATATATAAAACCAATTTATAAAGGGCATAATCAGGCCAATAAGCAAAAGACATTAACAGCCATTCCACCAAAGGAGACACTCAAACACCAGTAAAAATCAGAAATAATGTAAACTTCATGAAAATAGAGCTATGGGCCCTAGCCAGTTTGGCCCAGTGAAGGGAGCATCAGCCTGGGGACTGAAGGGGCCTGGTTTAAATATGGTCAAGGACATATGCCTGGGTGGCAGGTTCGATCCCCAGTAGGGAGCATGCAGAAAAGCAGCTGATCAGTGATTCTCTCTCATCATTGATGTTCTATCTTTCTCTCCCTCTCTGAAATCAATAAAAAATACAATATATTAAAAATAAGTACATAAAATAAAGATATGAACACCATTTTCCCACCTACTAAATTGGTTAAAAAAAAAAAAAAAGTAAAGTCTTAATAAAACAAAGTATTGTTGGCAAGTGGATCAACAGTTCTTTAACAATTGGTGAGAGTACAAACTGTTACAAGCACTTTACAGAAGATTGGTATCATCTTAAATATTAAGATGATGCAACAATTCTATTCCTTAGTATACACCCAGGATTACTCACACACTTTTATATCAGGAGACATGAACATGATTATTTGTAATAACAGTTTGCATTTAAAAAACTGAAAATAACTTTAGTGCCCTTCAATAGAAAAAACTAAATAAACTATAACATATTCAATGATTAAAATACTATGTAGGAGTAAAGTGAATGAATAACAGTTGCATGCGTCTACATAAATCTTGGAAGGATAATATTGAGTGAAATAGCAAGTTACCATTTAATACAGAGGATGATAATATTTAAATAAAACCCAAACACAAGCACAACTAAATATACTATTTAGTGAACCATGTACCTTTGGTAGATTTATAAAGAAACAGAGGAGGAAAATGAAATTATAAAACATAGTGACAAACCCAGAGAAGGAAGCAGGTCCATGGAGACCCATAATATACAGTGTAATACTCTTTTAACAGCCAATTTCTATTACATTTTAAAAATAAAATATATTTCAATAAACACTGCCTTTATAATTTTTCAAAGTGTGCATACATTTTTTTGGGACATATGTACCAAATATTTTACAATTTTTTTAGTGGAGGAGGAAAGAGAAAATTACTTCTATTTGAGAAAAAGTCCTGTTTGCATGCCAATTTCTAGAGATGCTTTAGAAAAAAAAAAAGAAAAGAAATGTATTAAATCCTAATTTTACCTTATTTTTATGTTTTTCATCTTCATGATGACTTCCTTTCAGTATCTAAAACCTAATATGAAAAAAACAATCATTTTATGCATATCACATATATCATACTTGTAATTTTTCTCATGATCCAATAATATTCACCCTAGTATTCATCTAATATTGACTAAGGGAAACTGAAAAACAAATTTTACATATCATTTTTCCATACATATTTCATACTAATAAGCAAACAAATATTTGGTATGACTTCTAACTCTAACACTTCAGATTTTACAACCTAAAAATATCTAGAAACTGGAGGCCTGGTGCACAAAATTTGTGCACGGGGTGGGGGTTGTCCTTCAGCTCAGCCTGCATCCTCTCCAATCAGGGATCCCTCTCACAATCCAGAATTACTGGCTCCTAACCGCTCACCTGCCTGCCTGCCTACCTGATGCCCCTAACTGCTCCTCTGCCAACCTGATGGCCCTAATTGCTCTCCCCTGCCAGCCTAATCCCCCAACTGCTCTCTCCTCCTGGCCTGATCCCCCTAACTGTCTAACTGCTCTCCCTTGCCAGCCTGATCGTCCTAACTGCCTATTTGCTCTCCCTTCCTCTCCGTGCCCTTCAGATACCTGATGCAGGCAAGCTGAGAGCTCCCTGCCACGGCCCCGCCCCCATCCTGATTGGTTATTAATGATGGTGTCCCAGCCGATTTGCATATTCCTCTATTATTAGTATAGATAAGCTCCTGTGAATTTCTAACATGTGCATGTGCTCAAAACAACTCCTGTCACAATATGGTATGGCTTGGTTTTAAAATAATGTTTTATTTTCACGTATATGTCAATTTAATTTTACAGACTTGCTCCAAATATCACATGGGAAATTATAGAATATAAATGATAGAATATTATTGTTCAATTATCTTTCTCACATACTGAAAGAATATTTAAAGAAAAGGCTTGAAATAGCTAGAATATTCTGTGATATGACTCTAAAATGTTTATCAACCAATCAATGATCCTTAACTTTCCTTCCAAGAGTGTAATAGGAATACCTTTCTCCTATTTGCTGCTTCCTTTTTTAGCTTAGCTATTAACATTTCTAATTTGCATTCAAGGTTCTAAGAATACTCAAATTTATAATAGCAATGAGTGTAAATTTTCCTGTAAGCTATAAGGACAAATATAAAACTGAATAATACTCTAAGCTGAAGTAAATTCTTATATCATTAGTCCTTAATATAAGCCATTTGCTAAGCTATGAGGCATGTTACTTCAAGAACAATAGCTTTTCAAATTTTCACCCTTAGTTGAAACATATTCTTTAAAAAACAACAACAAAAGATGACTAAAACTGTACTTACTTTAGCCAACAGTTCCTGTGTTTCAGCAGTGAGAGGAGCATGGGAAAACTTGCAGCTCTCGCCCTGATAGCATTTTGCTCCTGTGTGGTAAAACTTGCAAGGATATTCATGTATCCCAAATGTTAAGGAAGAGAACAATCTTAATTCAACAAAATCATTTTGTTATTCACTTAATGACTTTATTTTTCCTACTTAAAGAACCTTCTGACTAGCAGAAATATCAAATTCCCCATTTAAGACAATGAATTATTAGTTGGGCTACATGGAAAAAAAATCTAACTTTAGGATGATTATATAAATCAAGTTTATTAGCTATCACAGGACATTTTCTGCTTCATATCCACTCTTCTAATAGACAATGGATACTTTTCATTGATATAAGTAACCATTAGCTCAATTGGTTACAGCATTATCCTGATACCCGAGGTTACGGGTTTGATCCCACTAGAGTACATACAAGAATCAACCCGTGAATGCATAAATAAATGGAACAACAAATCGATGTTTCTCTATCTTCTCTCACTCTCTCCTCCCCTCTCTTTAAAATCAATAAAATTTAAAAAGAAAAGAGATGTGTATTTTAAATACCTCGAGAAATGTGATTATTTTTAAAACATTCTTTTGGGGTAGAGAAATTAAAGTCAAAGAAAATGGTATGTCTTAACAAATCTGAATCATTCATGTATGAGAATCAATTTATACAATGTCAACATTGTTTCCCAGGAAAAGAATCTCAAAGTCAGAATTTGTGACTTCCTGTACTGAATGACTAAAAGTAACCAAAGATGCTATTACCTTAAAATGTTCATGTTTTTACAACATGTCTTTACTCTGTGCTCTGAAGTGAGGGTTAGCTTTAAATTAAGGAACAGTTAACCCCACAGAATACAAAATACACAGAAACAAGCATTCCCAAATAATGCAGTCCTGCCTCCTGTAGATTTAGTGAGTGTCACAACAGAAATTCTGACTAAGTCTTTCTGGACTTAAACAGGTCTCAGAAACCTACCATACTCCATCTGAGAGACTTTCTAAGGAAACCCTCTTTTCTTAAGTGAAATAAAAAAATCTGTATACAACTGAATCACTTCAATACTGAGTTGGGCTTAGATAATAAAGCTTTGCCATAGCTAAGACATTGGTTCCATTCAAAACTGTACATATTTTAAATGTTCACAAAGTATTTCTGAAGAGTAAAGTTATAAAATCTTGTGATAAAGGATATTATGCAAATACAGACAGTTTTCACCTTTGGTGCAATATCCTTGTACATAAAATTTACACATTTCCTTTTTCTTCTCTATCTCTGCATCGTGATCAAATTTACACTCGTCTCCCTGGGCCAAAGAAGGAACAAGGAAAAGAAATTATTTCTCACAGTTAATTCATTACAATTCCTACTAAATTTCAGACAACAAATAATTCCAGAAAAAAACAGAAGCTGTATGGTTCAAGTCTTACTGAGTTTTCATATTTAGCTACTTAAAATTTTAAGGCCTAAACATTTATAATACAAAACATTTTTTAAATTACCTTTCTTAAACTTAAAAGAGTATTTCAGTAAAATTTTCTAAGTGAACCTTTTTCAGGAGGAAACAAGAATGTTTTTAATAGAAATAGAAGTCAATCTTAGTACATTTTTATCACACCTCCCATTTTAGTATATTTTTGCTTACACGTTTTTTTACCTTAATACATTTCCTTTCGATGAAATATTTACAAACTTGCTTTCCCTTTTGATTCACTGTGTGTTGGTTGATGAACCCCTGATTCATTTGAATGCGCTGCTGCTTCTCTTTAGGGTTACCATCCTTTGAAAACAAAAACAAAAAAATGTGAAAAACAGAAAATGAAATGTGCCATTGCATAAATTATTTTAAAACACATACAAAACATTAAAAAGGATTTTTCTAAATTGACCTTCATATATAAGATCTGGACTTTTGTACACCAGTTGAAAAATAAATGTTTTGCCAGTTTAAACAGCATTCTATCATTGAACATTAGTATTTATACAATTTGAATATTTTATTGTATTTTGTCCCTTTTTAAATGAATAAAAAAATAAATAAAAGTGCTACTACTTGTGATAGAAAGTGAAGTCTAAGAACAAGCCTCTTTATTTTTATTTTTTTATAATTTTTTTATTGATTTCAGAGAAGGGAGAAGGAGAAACAGAAACATCAATGATGAGAAAGAAACATTGATAGGCCGCCTCCTGCATGCCCCCTACTGGGGATCGGACCCACAATGTTGGCAATGAGCCCTGACCAGGAATCAAACCTTGACCTCCTGGTTCATAGGTTGACGCTCAACCACTGAGCCACACCAGTCAGGCAAGAACAAGGCTGTTCTTTCAAGAACAATGGAGACGAAACTGGAAATCATAAAAACTGAAAGCAGTGTAATGTTTCATTTCAATGAGATGCTCTCTGGGTGTGAGCTAAGTATACTAACCAGCTTAAATGAACAAATGTAGCCCAACCTGAGTGGCTCATTTGGTTAAGTGTTGTCCTGTGCACCAAAAGGTTTGAAGTCAAGGCACATACCTTGGTTGAGAGTTTGATCCCCAGTCAGGGAGCATAAGGAAGGCAAGCAATCAGTTCATGTTTCTCTCTCTCCTTTCCTCACTCTAAGCACATCCTCAGGTTAGGATGAAAAAAAAAAAAAAAAAAAAAAAGAACAAATGTAACTAGAACTAGAACTATCCCCTTAAAGATGGTGATAAAGGTATAAAAACAAAAGGGGATCTCATAATACATTTTAGCTCTTTAGAAGCATAAACCACTGTTAGTGTGTTAACTTGTAATACAGCTACTAGGTTCTGCACATCAATTTTCTGAATAGTTTGAGAAATACAAAGAAGGTAGTTGGCTATACATAAAATTTACTATTTATATGTCTGCTTTATAATAATGTCAAATTTCCACTGAGCACTATAAAATAAGTATTCTTATAAATATGTCAGTTTAAATTTTTGGTTCTCTTTGGTTATGTTGTTAAAATTGTAACATATATACTTAGATTTGTTTCTCATATAGAATAGCTATCAGGTTTGGCTGAATAACCTTTCAAGTCAATGTAAACCAAATAAAAGCAAATACTTATGGGAGGGTCAAAACACAAAGTGCCAGCGCTGGTATGGCCCTGGGTGGTCACCTGAATCCTAGGCCTGATTACTCATTTGCAAAATATGGGGGCAGAGCAATATTGTATATAAATATACAATTTAGTATTTCTAGTAATTTAGCACAAGTTTCTGTGGCCAAACCTGATAAAAATGGTTTCCACCAGTTTAGAAACCCTCACAAAGGCCAAGTCCAGAGTAATCTCTTATTGTCCCACCCTGATTACATGTACAGAACTTCTACAGTCAAAATCAAACTAAGAGGAGGGTAGGGGTGAGTGGGAAGGCCAATGCTTTGATATATTCATTTTTAATTTCCAGAGGGAGTCAATACCCAATAGACCAGGGACTACAACAGCAGAAACTTGGTAAGACACTGTGGCCTTTGAAATATGATTATTGTATTTTCTCCCTGTTTCCCATCAGTCTGTCCATATACACTGACAGCACAACAATCAAAAATCAAGTCAATGTAAACAAATGAAGGAAATACTGATATGCATGTATGCATGGAAACAGTGCAGCACAAGGGCTTAAAGGGGTGCTGGCAGCTCCTGTGTGAGCAAGAACGTGTAGCCCACTGTGGTCGGAGATTTCACCTCTGATAACCCTCATTTTGTGACCTGACACCAAGGGTAAGGCAGAAATGCCTTGTACCTGACCCTACCTGTTCCTTGTACCTGTTCCTCAGTGATGGATTTGATCCCTTGTCTGCAGTGCCAGGCCATTTCCGCTTCATTTTCTTCTGTTTACCATTCTTATGGGCAGCTTTAAAGTTATTATTTCTTTGTTCAATATCTGAAAGCAGAAAATTAATTTTAATGATGATATAAAAGTACAATAGCAGCTCTGGCTAGTGTGGCTCAGTTGGTTGAAACGTTGTCCAGTACACCAAAGAGTCTCAGGTTTGTTTGGTCTCTGGTCTAGCCACAAGCAAGATCCTTCTGAAGTGTTCAGGGTAGGAGGAATCTAGTTAGGAACTGCCATATAACAGTAACAATAAAACGTTCAAATGTTTAAACCGACTGTGTAGATTCCTATCAGATTTTTCACTGAAAACATTTCATATAGATTAAACTCATCTATGACCCATATTAAACAGAAAAGCATTTTAAGGGGGGAGGCAGTAAATGAGGATCAAGTATTGTATTTATACAATGATACTGTAATAACTATGTATGGGGCCAGATGGGTACTGGATTTATTTATATAACTCACCTTATAGTCATATAACTGACTAATCACTAAGTTGTAACCTGAAACTAAGATATGTAAAAGAATATATACGTGAAATTAGTCCTACACACCACCATCCCCGACATTGAGTCAATTCATCTTCAGATGACAGCAATACAAACAGGTATATCTTGTCCCTTTTACATGCAGAGCCTGGGATTTAGCATTCTCCCCTTCAAAGTAGTCATGGCCTCTGATAACCCTCCTGAACTCCCAGCTCCTCCTGCAAACTCAGTGAGCATTGTACACTGAGTGGCCAGGTGTTGAAGGGTGTCTCACATCTGGAGTTAAGATCCATATAAACCATGATCTTATCATAAAATACAGGAGAACCGCCAACTCCCAAGTCATGGACAAAGTGATTGCTCCTCTAGATAGACTTTAAATGATAAAATGTTTTATCTTTACCTTTCTGTGTACACATTGCCTCCTCTTTCTTCAAGGATTCTTTATGAGACAATAAGGTCTGAGCAGCATTTGCCATTTCTTTGGCTCGTATATACTGTTGAAGCTCTTTAGCAAAAGTATCTTCTGGTTCCTGATTGCAGATATTATCAGTGTATACATCATAGTCCCTACTTCTTGATTTTCGATATAGAAAATTCTTTGGTGAGGTTGTAGAGTTTCCAAAGTGCCTAAACTAAGTAAAAATTAAAATTTCAATTTAAAAAACTTAGCATGATACAAAACCACGAAGAAACTGGCCATAAATGGATCATTGCTGAGGATAGGTGATGGATACATGGGGGATCATATACTATTCTTTCCACTCTCAGGTATTTGAAATTTTCCAGAGTTAAAAAACAAACAAAAAAACAAAACAAATACCCAGCATGACACAGCCATTCTTAAAGATAATTTGAGGGAAGATTCTGAATTTTGTATATACCATGTACTCTGCTGAATTAACAGAATAAATCCCCAAATCTTAACTTTTTAATAAAAAAAATAAAAAAATTGCCTGGCTGCTGTGGCTCAGTTGTTGAGCATTAAACCAAGAGATCGGGGTTCGATTCTTGGTCAGGGCACATGCCTGGGTTGCAGGCTCAATGTCCAGTAGGGGAAGTGATTAATGATTCTCTCTCATCATTTCTATCTCTATCTCTATCTCTCTCTCTTCCTCTCCCTTCCTCTCTGAAATCAATAAAAATATATTCAACTAACACCATACAAAAAACTTACAAACACAACTTCTGGTCATGAATTGGCAAACATTGGCCTGGCTTCGTTTTTGTAAATAAAGTTTTGCTGGAATATAGGCACACCCATTCATTCATCATCTATAATCTATGGCTGCTTAGTTGAGGCAGACAATATGGCTCAAAAGTAAAAAAGAAGCACTATCTGGTCCGTTATAAAAAAGTTGGCTGATTCTTATAATGATTGTTTTTACCTTGATTCTGTTCTTTAATTTTTATTTAGAGAACCAAAAAATAATTCAATATGCCAAGGCTCCTAAGTTCAGCTTAATCAAACACACAGAGATAAAATTCCACTCAGTGTATGTGAATCAATTACAATAATCCAAACGAGTGACTAAATGTCCCCTTTGCACAAAACATGCAGGCCTACAGTACTGCAGCAGACCCCTTTTATTGCAAGTAATAACATATTTGATTTTCTTGTATTAAATTAAAAAAGCGAGATGACTTAGTAGTATAAATAAAACCAGGACAATGGCAATGGTAATGACCTAATTAAAAATGCACTAAGATATATTATAGCTACCAAAGCCTATTCTTGATCCCATAATTCACAGCATTGGTGACATAGAGGAGGTCAAGAAAGACCTGCCCAGTTCTCTTTAATCAGGTTAACTTTACTTTTAGGAATGCTTTTTTAACTGCTGCTGGAGCTGTCCTGAGATGACAGTTGCAAACATAGGTGCCCACTCTAGCAGAAGCCCACAACTGGCAGCTGCCCTTGGAGAGCTTATTTTAGTAATATTAGAGATGAGTATTACTAGTTGATATGATTCTTTTCAGAGGGCAATGAAATAACACAAAATGCAAATGATTGCTTTAATACTTTTCTTCACACAACTAGCTATAAACTCACTGCTTTGATGTTTGCTGTTCTCTATATAACACAAACACGACAGTACAACTTTTTCCCCCCTTTTTGTAAAGGAGTCTAATTAAAGCAGTTTTAAGTAAAAAAAATTCCTGCTTTTGATTCAGGATGGTCTACTAAACTAGTATGGCTTCCTAACATTCCACAGAAATAAAGTACAAAAGAAGGGTATGAGGTACATTCATCAGTGATTAAGAGAATTCAACAGGTTCTTGGCAGATTTTTTGTAAAAAAGCAAGTTCTAAGCTGGAGGCACGGCTTAGGTTGAGGGTAAGAAATGAGGCCGTCACAGGACAAATTAAAATTCTACTTGGAGCCGGGACAGGTTTGGCTCAGTGGATAGAGGATTGGCCTGCGGACTGAAAAGTCCCGGGTTCGATTCCGGTCAAGGGCATGTACCTTGGTTGCGGGCACATCCCCAGTGGGGGGTGTGCAAGAGGCAACTGGTCGATGTTTCTCTTTCTCAACATTTCTAACTCTCTGTCCCTCTCAATTCCTCTCTGTGTAAAATCAATAAAATATATATTTTTAAAAATTCTACATGGAAACAAACAAAGCTATTATAATAAGTTCTTTCTGCCCATCCCTCATCAGAACACATTCAAGGAGAAGTTTATCCTGGGCAAAAAGAGAGGGCTGTTCTCCAAAGAAATTGAAGAAAATGTCTGATAAAAATCAAGACTGCTGCCGGGACCAGTTTGGCTCAGTGGTTAGAGCGTCGGCCTGCAGACTAAAAGGTCCCGGGTTCGATTCCGGTTGAGGGCATGTACCTTGGTTGCGGGCACATCCCCAGTAGGGAGTGTGCAGGAGGCAGCTGATCGATGATTCTCTCTCATCGATGTTTCTAACTCTCTATCCCTCTATCTTCCTCTCTGTGAAAAATCAATAAAATATATTAAAAAAAAAAAAATCAAGACTCCTTAGGTAGGTAATAAGACCTCAGAGTAAGTCCTCCACATTCTGGCATTTGGGAACACCTCAGTGCACCATACATTTCAGTGACAGTTATAACTTGACTATAAGTCTGATACATGAAATTTGTGCATGAGGTAAAAGGTGGAGGGTCCTTCAGCCCAGCCTGCACCCTCTCGGAATCCAGGACTGCTGGGTCCTAACTACTCACCTGCCTGCCTGCCTGACTGATCCCCCTAACTGCTCACCTGCCTGCCTATATACCCCTAACCACTCACATGTCTGCCTAATCCTCCCTAACTGCTTGCCTGCCTACCTGATCACCCCTAATTGCTTCCCAGCCTGCCTGATCACCCCTAACTGCTTCCCCTGTCGGCCTGATTGCCCCCTAACTACTCTCCCTTGCCAGCCTGATTGCCCCTAACTGCTCTTCCCTGCTGGTCTGATCGCCCCTAACCGCCTCTACTTCGGCACGTCTCCATGGCTTAGTCAGGAAGGACGTCTGGAACAATGTCCGGTCTAATTAGCATATTACCCTTTATTGGTGTAGACAATTTAGTATTTCTAACAATTTAGCACACGTCCCTGTGGCCAAACCTGATAAAAATTGTTACCACCAGTTTAGAAGCCCTCAGAAAGGCAGAGTCCAGAGGAGTCGCTTATAGTCCCCCGCTGATTACATGTACAGAACTCTACAAGCAAAATCAAATAAGACCTAGTAGCCCAGGATTGCAACTGCAGAAACTTTATAAGGCTCTGTGGCCTTTGAAATATGGTCATGATTATTGTATTTTCTCCCTGTTACCCATCAGTCTGTCCATATACACTGACAGCACAACACTCATAAATCAAGTCAATGTAAATAAATGAAGAAAATACTGATGTGCATGTACGCGTAGAAACGGTGCAGCACGAGGGCTTAAAGGCGGTGCTGGAAGCTCCTGTGTGAGCAAGAACGTGTAGCCCACTGTGGTCAGAGATTTCTCCTCTGATAACCCTCGTTTTGTAACCTGACACTGAGGGTTAGGCAGAAATAGTCCTTGTACCTGTCCCGGTGAGCCACCGTTCCTCAGTGATGGATTTGGTCCCTTGTCTGCAGTGCCAGGCCATTTCCGCTTCATTTTCTTCTGTTTACCATTCTTATGGGCAGCTTTAAAGTTATTATTGCCTTGTTTAACATCTGAAAACAGATAATTAATTTTAATGATGATATAAAAGTACAATAGCAGCCCTGGCTGGTGTGGCTCAGTTGATTGAAACGTTGTCCAGTACACCAAAGAGTCTCAGGTTTGATTCCTAGTCAGGGCACATAGCTACATTGCAGGTTCAGTCCCCAGTCTAGCCACAAGCAAGATCCTTCTGAAGTGTTCAGGGTAGAAGGAATCTAGTTAGGAACTGCCATATATTATAATAGTAACAATAAAACTGTAACAGTAAAACTTTCAAATGTTTAAACTGACTGTGTAGATTACTATCAGATTTTTCATTGAAAACATTTCATATAGATTAAACATTTCAAAGTAGTCATAGCTTTTGATAACTCTCCTGAACTCCCAGCTCCTCCTGCAAACTCAGTGAGCATTGTACACTGAGTGGCCAGGTGTTGAAGGGTATCTCATATCTGGAGTAAAGATCCATATAAACGATGATCTATATATATATAAAAGGCTACTATGCAAAGTGTCCCCTCGGGAGTTAGACTAGGAGACTGGGAGTTCAATTGCTTGCTATGACTTGCACTGACCACCAGGGGGCAGCACAGAACATGGCAGGCAATCAGCAGTCAGCAGTGGTGGGGCGCTGAGAGAGCGAGGGAAGGAGGAGGCCAAGAGGTTGGAGGCAGGGGAGTGAAGAACCTGATTGGCCCTGATCATGGAACAGGCCTAGGGAACCTACCCATGCACAAATTTCATACACTGGCCTCTAGTCTTATCATAAAATGCAGGAGAACCCCCAACCCCCAAGTCATGGACAAAGTGATTGCTCCTCTAGATAGACTTTAAATGATAAAAGTTTTATCTTTACCTTTCTGTGTACACGTTGCTTCCTCTTTCTTCAAGGATTCTTTATGAGACAATACGGACTGAGCAGCATTTGCCATTTCCTTGGTTTGTTTGTACTGTTGAAGCTCTTTAGCAAAAGTATCTTCTGGTTCCTGATTGCAGATATTATCAGTGTATACATCATAGTCCTTACTTCTTGATTTTCTATGTAGCAAATTCTCTGGTGAAGTTGTAGAATTTCCGAAGTGCCTAAACTAAGTAAAAATTAAAATTTCAATTTGAAAATTTTAGCATGATTCAAAACCATGTGGTTATAAAGAAGAAACAATGACTGGCCATAAACTGATAATTGCTGAGGATAGGTGATGGATACATGGGGGATCATATAGTACTATTCTTTCCACTCTCAGGTATTTGAAATTTTCTAGAGTTAAAAAACAAACAAACAACAACAACAAAAACAAACAAACAAACAAAAAACAGTATGACACAGCCATCTTAAAAGATAATTTGAGGGAAGATTCTGAATTTTGTATACTACATGTACTTTGCTGAATTAACAGAGTAAATACCCAAATCTTAACTTTTTGATTTAAAAAAACTGCCTAATTGCTGTGGCTCATTGTTGAGCATTAAACTAGGAGGTCAGGATTCAATTCTTGGTCAGGGCACATGCCTGGGTTTCAGGCTCAATGCTCAGTAGGGGAAGCGATCAATGGTCCTCTCTCATTATTTCTATCTCTATCTGTCTCTCTCTTCCTCTCCCTTCCTTTCTAAAATCAATAAAGATATAATTTTTTAAAAGAAGCAGAGATTCTTGTATTAAAAAAATACAGTATTATAGTTTACATTTTATTTCTCCCATGATATTGACTATACTTTCAAATGGTTTAATTCAGTGACTGATGATTTCACAAAAGTAAGTTGTAATAGCCCAATTAAAAATGCACAACAGTAAGATATATCATAGCTACCAAAACCTATTCTTTTTCCAATTTAAAGGTTTGCTAACTGTAAGCCTAGAAAAGTCTACCAACAACAGATCTAGTATGTTCAAATAATGGAACACTATGCAGTTAAGAAAACAAGCAAGGAAGTATATACCATAACATCTAAGAATCTTATAATGTTGAGAAAAAGAACATTCATGGTGCTATCTTATTTCTATAAAGTACAAAAATGGGCAAGAACAAACTGTGTTCTTATGGATGACAGCACTAGTAAAACTGTAAAGAAGAGCAAGGTAAGTTAGGACTGTATCTCTAGGAAGAAACAAGGAGGATGGCTGAGAAGGGAGGCACCAGAGGCTCCGATGGTAATGATCTTTCTTGACTTTCAATGTGTTTTCCTGGGTGCTTTCTTTTTAATCAGCTGTGATACATTCACATTCTACACACTTGTGAGTAAAGAGCCTGGGCTAAAGCAAGCCTCCTTAGGAATAATATAGGTGTCCATCTTCTCACAGTACTGCTCCTTGGAAACCACTGAAAATAATCCTAGAATGTCGTACCTGTCTATCTCCTGTATAGTGTTATACATGGATTAAAGAACTTTAAATGGGCATGAAGTAGTGGGCCCAAATGACAAAAATAATAGGAAAAAATTGTAGGGAATCCAAGCTGTAATTTCTCCCTGTCAGTCTTGGCCCTCGTCTATAGCAGGGCAAAAGAAGTCATATATTTGGGTAGCTGAGAGTCTTCCTGAGGAGCTGAAGATGCTGTACCTGATATACTTTCTGTCTTATATCCTTGTACAAACCTATGTATAAGAGTATCGCAGTACAGTCTATTCGTATCTGTGAGTCTCGATGCCAATTAAAACCCATTCTTTTGTAATGGTCTAAAATTAATAATTAAAAAAAGTTCAAAAGAAAAAAAGAGGCAAAAGAAGAGCAGATATTGGCTTTGTTACTGGTTGTGTCCTTCCAAATTCTTACGTTGAACTCCTAGCCCTAAGTACCTTAGAATGTGACCTTTTATTTATTTTTGTTCTTTTATATTTTTTTAAAAAGGGCATTGTATGCATAATTAAAAAGAGGTATTAGGGTGGGCTCTAATCCTTTAAAGCCAATGTCCTTAAGAAAAGGGGAAACTTAGACACAGACATGCACACAGAGAGAATGCCATTCAAACAGATAGGTAAGGATCAGGGTGATGCTCTGGAAGTCAAGCCAAGGAACACCAACGATGCCAGCAAACCACAGGAGCTATGGGAAAGCCTGGAACAGATTCCCTTTCACAGCCCACACCTTGATCTCAGACTTTTAGCCTCCAGAAGCATGCGTCAACAAACTTCCACTTTTTAAGTTACCCAACTTATAATACTTTTTTAAAATTCTCACCTGAGAATACATTTTTTATTTATTTGAGAGAGAGAGGAAGGGAGAGGGAGAGAGAGAAACATCGATAGGTTGCCTCACATACAGGCCCAGTCCGGGGATTAAACCTGCAACCTCAATATGTGCACTGACTGGGATTCAAACTCATCACCCTTTGATGTGCAGGATGACACTTAACCATTGAGAACAGCAGCCGGGAACTTTGTTATGGCAGTCCTAGCAAATGAATACAAGCTTTAAGCTTGAAATCTCTAAGATTAGTTACATTAGCAATTTGATATCCTTAAAATTTAGATCTAATTTAAGAAGAAAACTTTGAAACACTTGACAAACCATTTCAGAAATAGGGAAAACAGCCGGGACCAGTTTGGCTCAGTGGATAGAGCGTTGGCCTGCGGATTGAAAGGTCCCAGGTTCGATTCCGGGCAAGGGCATATACCTTGGTTGTGGGCACATCCCCAGTAGGGGGTGTGCAAGAGGCAGCTGATGGATGATTCTCTCTCATCGATGTTTCTAACTCTCTATCCCTCTCTCTTCCTCTCTGTGAAAAATCAATAAAATATATTATATATATATAAAAAAAAAGAAATAGGGAAAACAAAAATAAATGCAATGCACTAAAAAATGACAAAGCCTTTAAACATAAATATTTTAAAAAGTGTAACTGGGTTGCCCTAACCAGTTTGGCTCAGCAGATAGAGCAGCAGCCTACAGACTGAAGGGTCCCAGGTTCGATTCCAGTCAAGGGCCTGTACCTTGTGAGCACATCTCCAGTGGGGAGTGTGCAGGAGGCAGCTGATCGATGTTTCTCTCTCATTTATGTTTCTAGCTCTCTATCTCTCTCCCTTCCTCTCTATAAAATAAATAAATAAATAAAATAAAAATATAACTGGGTTTGATATAAGTAACTGTGTCTCAAATGCTAACTAAAATGAAACAAACAGGATCCCTAAAAAATTTCTCATATCTATTACAGTAAAACCTCAATATTGCAGACTAATTCAGGGAAGGGGGTGTCTGTTAAAGCTGAAAGTCCATTATATAATAAAGTATGTTTTACGAATTTGTATATTAAATAATTGACAAATTAATTTACCTGTTTTTATTTATGCACATTGTGCAATTAAAATTAAGTACAAAAAGTTTAATTTCACAGAAAAGTATTACTGTAATTTTAAATTTATTAAATGTGTGCATTCACCAGTTACCATGAGCAAACAAATGCACATGACTGGGCGTGGCTTAGTGCACATGGGAACATCCCACAGCATGAGTTAATACTATTGCAGCAAGTGACACCACTCAAAAATAGAACCAATCCTGTGTGCAATAAGGTGTGATCACATTCTAATCATTGGCCAAACATTGGCTACAAGCAGTGACTCTTGGATTTAAATATGTAAACTATAATTGTAGACATGTAATATTTATTTATGTTGGCGAAATTACTACAGTGTGTTTTCTAAAATATAGCCGATCTGCTAAAATTTGTTTAAAATAACAGTGAATTGGAGATCCAAGATGGTGGCTTAGGTAAACACACCTAAACTGCTGCCGCGCACAACAATTTCAAAACTACAACTAAAAACATAACATCTATCACCCAGAACCACGGAAAAGCTGGCTGAAAGGAAGCTCTACAACTAGATTTAAAGAGAAAGGAGCATTCAGGGCACAAACGCTGAAAAACTGAGGTACAGTGACGCGAGTGTGATACGGGCAGGCGACAGATCCCAACTGGCAGAGGGCGTTGCTTTCTTCAACCTGAAGAGAGACAAGCTCCCAATCTCTCTGAAATCTAGTTTCTGGGGAGAAGCTAGACTGTCTGCCATCGGGTCGGAAAGTGAGGATGGCTTGCTTGCAGACTGCATGCAAGAATAATTGTTTGTTGTGCTGGGGCAAGAGACGCGGGGACATGGTCAGAGCGGCAGAGAAGGCTGACTGGCATCCATCGCTATTTGCCACGCCCTAGCCTAGAGACACCCTGAGACTCGGTCCCACACAATCTACAAACACACTCAAGCTCCAAGCAGCAGCTTTTGCATATGAATGGCCTTCTCTATTGCAGTTTAACCTAGCAAACTTGCAACCTGGTGCAGATAGCTCCAAAGCTTCCAAGCTCCAAGCAGGGAGATGAGGACTGTGGTTTTCGCTGTAGCTCCTGCAGGGTGGCTTCAGATAGTAGCTGAACTGCACCCCACCATTGGAGATCCAGAAACTAGTGTATCTAGTGGTCAGTATGAGACAACACCAAATTTCAACTACTCTCATAAAGGACACATTCAAGAGACAGACTCAGTGAGCACCAAAGCCCTACTGGAACAAGTCCTCCCCCCATAAACGTGTCTCCAGTACAGCAATTCTTTCATTATAGACACAGCAAGTCCTCACAGCCAATTGGCCTGGAGGACAATTCCTCCCAGTGACACCAACAACCATCAAGACTTAACTACAACAAGAGTGTACACACAGTCCACGAAGGGGTGCACCAAGAATGTCCACATCAGGCAACTGGGAGGCTGACCCATTGAACCATATAGGACACCCAGGCCCACAAAGCTACCCTACCAACTCAGGGAAGTAGCGAATATGCTGAGAAAAGGAAGGAAATCTCAAACAAAAGAAATGGAGGAGAACAAAAGACTGGATATAGAGTTTAAAACCACGGTTATAAGGTTTTTCAAATATTTCCTAGAAAAGGCCAATAAATTTAACGAGAACCTCGAGGATATGAAAAAGAAATTAAACATACACTGACTGAAATAAAAAATATTATACAGAGACCCAACAGCAGACTACAAGAACACAAGAATCAAGTCAAGGATTTGGAATACAAAGAGGCAAAGGACACACTTCCGGAGAAGCAAGAAGACAAGAGAATCCAGAAAGTTGAAGATAGTATAAGAAGCCTCTAGGACAACTTCAAGCGTATCAACATCATTATTATGGGGGTGCCAGAAGAAAAGAGAGAATAAGACACTGAAAACCTATTTGAAGAAATAATGACTGAAAACTTGCCCCACCTGGTGTAAGAAATATTTACAAGTCCAAGAAGTGCACAGAACCCCAAACAAAAGGAACCCAAAGAGGGCCACACCAAGACACATCATAATTAAAATGCCAAGAGCAGAAGACAAACAGAGAATCTTACAAGCAGCAAAAGAAAAACAGTTACCGTGTTTTTCGGACCATAAGACGCACTTTTTTTCCCCCAGAAGTGGGGGGAAAAAGTCCCTGCGTCTTATGGTCCAAATATAGCCTACACATATACTTTTAAAAAAAAGTTTTTTTACTTGCCCGGCTCTGTGTGGTCTCTGTGTGCTTGCCCGGCTCTAAAATGGTTCTAAATGCTGCTGTTTACTTTACAGGGTTGATTACATGTGTTTATGACTGTGATGTTGGGTTTTAATGCACATAAAATATTTTAGGACACTATTTGTTTCAGAATCTTTTTTTCTTCATTTCCCTTCTCTAAAAACTGGTGCGTCTTATGGTCCGGAGCGTCTTATGGTCCGAAAAATACGGTAGTTACCTACAAGGGAGCACCCATACGATTATCAACTGATTTCTCAACAGAAACTCTGCAGGCCAGAAGGTAGTGGCAAGAAATATTCAAAGTGATGATTAGCAAGAACCTCCAACCAAGATTACTTTACCTAGCAAAGCTATCATTCAGAATTGAAGTTCCGATAAAGAGCTCCAAGCAGGGAGATGAGGACTGGTTCTCCTAAGTCAGGAGAATCCAAACTTGTATTCAAGTGGAAGGTGAAAAAGAAAAGTTGTTTTCATACTCATAAGGACTGAAAAGTTGGCATGCATGCACATCACCAAGTTAAGTTATTTGAGGGTATTTCAGCAAAACTAAAAATGAACCCAAGAAAGATAAAGACAGATAATAAAAATTAAAGGAGTACATCACCACCAAACTAGTATTATATGAAATGCTAAAAGGTATTCTTTAAAAAGAGGAAAAATAAGAAAAAAGATAAAAATTATGAACAACAAATACATATCTATCAACAAGTGAATCTAAAAGTCAAGTGAGTTAAAAATCTGAGGAACAGAATAAACTGATGAATATAATAGAATCAGGGGCATAGAATGGGAGGGGATTGATAATTCTCAGGGGAAAAGGGGTGTCTGTGTGGGGGGTACGGGAAGAGACTGGACAAAAATCATTTATCTATGGATGAGGACAGAGGGATGGGGGCGGGGATGGAGGGGAGATAAGGGCAGAGGGTGGAGTGGAAAAGTAGAGGGGAGCTATGGGAGGAGGGGGGAAAAGGAGAAACAATTGTAATAAATTGAACAATAAAGATTTATTTTTTAAAAAATAATAAAATAAAATAACAGTGAATTAATAAAAACAATAACCAGTTGATTTAATTATAAGCAAATCTTGGTTAAGACATTTAAAAATTAACAGGATATTAATTTTCACATGACATACGGACCAGAAATTTTGTCTGCTATAATAAATCAAGGTCCGCAAAATTGAAGGTTTACTGTGCTATTTTTTCAATATGCCAACTCAATCTTACTTTTTTGGGAATATGCTCACATTCCACTTTTACTTTTATTTTCTCTTCTTGTGTTTCTTCAACTTCTGTATCATTTATTTCATCATCGATTCTGTAGCAAAAAATATAAAATAACACAAGAGAATTTTTTTAACCTGAAAGAGTTCATCCCACACCATTAAAATCCACAGCTTTGTCACAGCCGAGGAAAGGGCTGATGTGGGTCTGTGCGCCCCGTGTGGTGTCGCTGTGACACCTGAGGAGAGCGCTGTCCTGCCCCCGTGGTCCCTGAGGAGACAGGGCAGGTGTGTGTGTGGGAGGGAGGCATGGACACTCCAGCCCCTGGGCCGGCCTCCTGCCCCATAGCACGCCCACTGGGGGGTAGGGGGGGTGATCCGGGAGTGGGGGACGCCCGCCTACCTTGCCAGGGACCGCTTCACCCCGCCCGCCACCCTCCCGCTCCCACATTCGCTGGGAGGGGGCTGTGTCTGAGGCTGCTGAGGACTGGGAACAGCCTTTGAAGCCACCCAGTCAAGTGCATCTCATCAAGCTCAGGCGGGGGAGCCAGCAGCGCTCTGCTAAGGAAGCTAAGGCAGCCTCTACCAGCCCCAACCCCACCCCACCCAGCCCCCCTCCCCGTGCAGCCTAAGATCAGACTGGGTCGGAAAACTGCGCCGGGCGGCTTCCTCTCGGGATGGACTGGCTGGCCAGACATTTCTGTAAAGCCAGCTTCACCGTCTCCTCCTCTTAGGCGAGGCTCGCTGCCACCCTGCCCTCGCAGGCATGGCTCTTGCTTCCCGAAGCTGGAGTGACAGGGGTCTGGGGTGGCCTAGAGCCCGTCACCCTGGACAGTGCTTCCCAAAGTGCGGTACGCGTCCCCCCAGGGGCACGGGAAGAGTCTGGTGGGGGTACGCGTTGCACCGGAGTTTGGTGGGGATGTGCACTGCACCGTGCTTAGCTGCGCCTAATTCTGCGTTCTCATGAGGACGAGGGGTACTCAGCGTTACGAAAATGATAGAAGGGGGACACATATGTCAAAAGTTTGGGAAACAGCCAAAACCGGTTTGGCTCAATGGATAGAGCGTCGGCTTGGGGACTGGAAGGTCCTGGGTTCGATTCCGGTCAAGGGCATGTACCTTGGTTGCGGGCACATCCCCAGTAAGGGAGTGTGCAAGAGGCAGCTGATAGATGACTCTCATTGGTGTTTCTAAGTCTCTATCTCTCCCCCTTCCTCTTTGTACAAAATCAATAAAAATATATATACTAAAAAAAAAATAAATAAAAAAAAAAATAAAAATCCACAGCTTTGGCTTATCTTCAACTTGCCCAAATTCCAAATTCAAATTCTACTCCACTTACCCTTCTTTCCAGAGAATTATGTACAAAATTATTATAAGTAGTTAATGACAACATGTTTGTGAGTAAAAAATAAAGCTGAAATTTTAGATTACATAACCTTGAACATTAGCTCAAGTATTAGCAGGTTTTTAATTTATCCATTCATTCTCGTTCAATTCATTCAACAAATGCTGCGTATCTATCATACTCAGCACATAGGCTCTGGGCCTTAAATCCTAGGATACAACGATGAATAAAATAGATCTTGTCCCTGCCTTCTGAGAACTTTCTATCTGTTTGGAAGAGAGAAGGAAAGCAATTTCAATATGGTGTGGTAAGTACAGATATATATATATGTGGGTGTATGTGTGTATATATATATATATATATATATATATATATATATATATATTTATACACACACACACACACACACATATATGAATATGTATGAAGAAAACAATCTAGATTTAGGTGCCAGAAGTTTTCTGAACCTAAAAGACATGAAAGAGTTAGTAAACAAAGAGGAATGAATGCAAGAAAGAAGAGTATTTCAGGTATAATTCAGGGTGCTTTCTTAAGTCAGGAGAATCCAAATTTGTATTCAAGTGGAAGGTGAAAAAGAAAAGTTGTTTTCATACTCACAAGGACTGAGAAGTTGGCATGCATGCACATCACCAAGTTAAGTTATTTGAGGGTATTTCAGCAAAACTAAAAATGAACCCAAGAAAGATAAAGACAGGAAATACCAAAACACACACACACACACACACACAAACAAAACAAAAACAAACAAACAACAACAAAAAACTGGTGAATAGAGAAGCCAGTAAAATCCTATGTAATAAAGAGGTAATGTGCAAATTAATCCTCATGCCCTCACAAGATGGCTGCCTATGACCAGGGGCAACATGGTTGGCAAGGGGACAGTGAGGGGCAACCAGACTGGTGGGGGGAGGGGGGAAGTTAGGGGCAACCAGGCTGCCAGAAGAGGGGGGCAGTTGAGGGTAATCGGGTGGGGGGGGCAGCAGTTAGGGGCAACCAGATCTGCAGGGGGTAGGGGGGCAGTTAGGGGTGACGAGGCAGGCAGGCAGGTGAGTGATTAGGAGCCAGTGGTCCAGGATTGTGAGAGGGATCGGGCCTAAACCGGCAGTCGGACATCCCCTAAGGAGTCCGGATTGGAGAGGGTGCAGGCTGGACTGAAGAGGACCACCCCCTCCCCCTGTGTACGAATTTCATGCACCAGTCCGCTAATTCATAAATCGAGATAATGGTTGATGGTATAGACACAGGGCTTTAAACACAATTTTGTCTCAGAAAGTAGTGACTACTGAATAAAGCTTCAAATATGTGTTACATGCCAGATAAAGGCAAGGACTAGGCAATCTGTACATACTCAAAGCAACATGTTACAAGAATGTGAATAGTGGCTTTGTGCTTCTTTCCAAGTTACAGGAATTCAGGCTTCACAGCTATATCCAATCCAACAGTTTACTACTGATCTATCTCCATTCAGAGCTTCAGAGTTACACCCATCAGATAGGCTATCATGTTTTGAGCCTTTTACAGAAGCAAGAGCCAATAAACAAAATCCTGTGGATCTTTATTGTCCTAGTTTTCAGTAATGAATCACGGGGAATAGGAAGTAATATATCCTTGGGCAGAATAATGATGACAATAGCAACTACAGCAGCAGCGAACACTTGCATTATGATTATTCTGTGCCCGCACACTGTCCCACACACATTATTGCAATAACCCTATAACGTACATACTACTGCTTAAAAGGCCGTTTTACAGATGAGAGAACTGAATTATAGAAAGCTTATACAACTTGCCACAAACCTAGTAAATGGTGGAGTTGAGACTGGAATGCTGGCAGGCAGAGCCAACTCCCTATTCACCATATCTACCTGGTGTCTACTAGACTAACCTTAATATATACAAAACTGAACTCCTGTTACTTAAACTGCAACTCTAACCTTTTAATGATACCGCCCCAAAACCTTGATGTTGTCCTTGACTCTTCTCATGTCCCGCATCCAAACCATGAAGACATCCAGTTTATCTTCAACATTTTATCTATATTTGACCACTTCTTACCACTAATTCTATGACGTAAGCTCTTGCCCCACTACATTCTACTCTCAACACAAGCAGAAAGACCCTACTAAACTGTCACTCTCTGCTGAAAACCCTCCAATGGCCTCTTATCTTATGTAGAGTAGAAGATAAAGATCTTATTATGGCACCTACAAGTCCCTACATGATCTGCCTACCCCACCCTACCCAATACCACTCAAGTCTGACTACTCTTACTCCACTCCAATTGTCATTCTGGCCACATTGTTCCCACCACCCAATCACATCAAGCTCCTGCACTTCAGGACCTTTATATGGAACATTCTCCAGCTAGGTATCAACCTCCTTCACCTCCTTCAGGTCCCTACTCACATATTACTCATTAATGTAAATATATAAGGCTTCCCTTAATCACCTTCTTTAAAATATCTACATCCTTTCCATCATACATCCTCCCTTCTTATCCAACTAACCCTCTTTCATTTTTCTCTGTCATTTATCATCACCTACAATACCATACAGTATATCGTCCATAGGCTCCTGGAACTACAGTGAAGCATATAATGAAATCAGTTTTACCATAGGCTAACTGATATACACAGGAGTTAGGTTCCTATGGCATCTCATCGACCTTAGAATGAAACAAAGTAGAATAAAATGACATTACTTGATAACTGTATATTTACATATTGCCTGTGCCCCAAGAATATATAAATTTCATGAGCATGAGACTTTTAAAAAATATATTTAATATTATTATGTTCCCAGGGCTTAGAATAGTATCTTGTCCATAGCTGGTGCTCAATAAATGAGTAATCCTATATTCCTATATAATAAAAGCCTAATATGCTAATGTCTAGTCATCCAGTTGGCCGTTCAACCAATCAAAGCGTAATATGCTAAGGCCACTCAATTGCTTGCTATGGCATGCATTGACCACCAGGAGGCAGATGCTTCAACCAGCAGGTTAGCTTGCTGCTGGGGTCCAGCTCATCAGGACTGAGACAGGCGGGACATGCCCTGGAGCCCTCCTGCAGTCCCTCCCTGGCTGGCCAACCTCCTGTGTCCCTCCCCAGCCCAATTGTGCACCAGTGGGGTCCCTTGGCCTGGCCTGCATCCTCTCCCAACCTGGGACCCTTAGGGGATGTTGGAGAGCCAGTTTTGGCCCTAGGGCAGAATGACTGGTTGCTATGATGCACACTGACCACCAGGGGGCAGATGCTCAATGCAGGAGCTGCCTCCTGGTTGTCAGTGTGCTCCCCAGGGGCCCGAGGGATTTCCCACCTGGGAGAGGGACCCTCTGAGTGCACAAATTTTGTGCACCAGGTCTCTAGTTCCATAATAAAGTTACTAGTAAAAACAAAAAACAAACAAACAAACAAAAAACAGAAACAATAAAAGATTGATTCATTTGACTGCTTTTAAAACAAAAACCTTTATGCATAGAAAATAATGCCATAAGCAAAGTCAAAAGACAAATAACAAATTGGGGTAAAATATCTGCTCACTAGAGAGCCTAAAATTTCAAAGAGAAGAATGGGCAAAGGATATGAATAATACAATAGTTCAGACACTCACCATAACCATATTGCAATACCATCTGCACCTGACATTTTTGCAAAAATCCTTAAGTGTTATAAAAGGATGACATAAAAGTAGTTCAGTAAAATTTTCAAACTGATGGCTGCTGTTGGTTTTTTACATGTTGCCAAATTCTTTTGTGTGATTATTTATATTGCTGATTTCTCTTATGTATTTTAAGTTTATTGATTCCTCTCCTTTTTCTTTGTAGATGATCCTATCATCTGCAAGTAATTAGTATCTTTTTCTCTTTTCAATATTTATAGGTTTTATTTTAACCAACTGTGCTTTAGAAACATGGGAATGAAATCATGGGTCCTAGAGGAAGACTTATCTAAGTAACTTAATCCTAGTTTTGCCACTTACTAGTATACTGTGTAATCATGGCAAGTTATTTATCATCTCTGTGCCTCAACTTTCTACTACAAAAATATGGATATCTTAAAGGCTGTGAAGATTAAAAGACATTTTATGTAAAGCAACATAATAAAGCTCTTGATGATAGCCTGAATTAAAGCAATAGTTCCAATTAAGGTATGTGAGCCAGAGAGAAGTGAAAAAATTTTAGTGATCTGGAGGTAAAGTCAACCATAATACGACTTATAGTTGATAAGAGAAAATAAGGAATAAAGGCTGTATTATAGTTTTTGGCCTAGGGAAACTGGGGCAAAGATGCAGGTTTAGAAGAAAAGATGGGTTTTTAGCATTTCAAAGTCACAAAGAAAAGAGTGAATTAATATCTGGGTGTAAAGAAACTACACTATCCAAGTCTCCACGGATGAGATGAGTTAAGAGCCATTTGGCCAGCGGCCTTATTTTCCCTTTCAACATAAAGGAAATATAACCAAAAGGTCTTTGCTGTTCTATGATAGTTCTTAGGGTCTTTCGATGCTGATCAGTGGAATAAGAGCAGACTATTCACTCATACTTCACCACTTGGCGAACTAACGGTTTCATTATTTTCTACAGAAAAAGTACCTAGCACGTGTCGGTGAGAAATGACAGATGACCTCTGTCTTCTAGGAGCGCACACGTGCTCTAGTCCGCCGGGAGAAAAGGGAGCTTCCCGGCGCACCCTCGCCCTGCTCGGGCCCCGCATCTCCGGCTTCCACCTGCGCGCCCGCCCCGCCCCGCACCATCGCTCCGCATCTGAGCTTCCCGCGCGCTTCACGCCCCCCGCGACTGGGCGTCCGGGACGCGCGAAGGGGCGGAACCCGCTGGGACCCCGGCGCTCAGGGCAGCAAAACACGGGCGTCACCTGTCGTCAGAGTCCTTGGCGTTGGAGTCCGTGACCGATTTCTTGCCCAGGGCCGGGTTGGGGGGTTTGGAGAAAAGATTCTCAAAATCCATCCTCCCGTCCGGAGTGCCGCAGCTACCTAGTGACAACCCCCGGCAGCAGCGGAGAGGGGAGAGGAAGGAGGGGCTCCCCGACCCCGCAGGCGGCCTACGCATGCGCCGCCCGCCCCCTCTGCGCACGCGCTCCTGGCCCCAGTGCGCACGCGCGCTCTGATCAACTAGCTCTGCACAGGCACCGCCCTACATGTAGGCTTCTTGTTGCACTTGGCGACCCGTTATCTCAAATAGTTGCTATAGTTTTTAGGCTCGGTCTTTAGGGTTCTTCTATGGATCAAAAACCCTTTGTTTCTAAAAAGAAACATTGATTTAAGCACTCGCTTAATATCAGACATGTTTCACATTTAGCCCACTTAATGCTCACTGGAACCCAGGACACTCAACTTATTACAGGTGCTATTCCACATTTTCTAGATGAGGAAACAGGTGTGGACAGTTCACGTGACTTGTAGAGTGTTGTCATCCAATGGGATTAATACAACTTTTAGGCAGACAGTTCATTTAAAAGTACCAAGAACTAAGAGGATTCAGAGAAGTGGTTGGGAAGGCTTCTTTTTTAAAGGAGCATATTTGAGCTCGGTATTGATGTAATGTCCACAGGAAAAGATAAAGCTAGGAGTATAAACGGACTTTGGGTAAAGGCAGTTTTCCAGTCCCTTTTATGCAGTAGAACCAAAGGAGCAATTATAAGAAAGGTGCATGAAATCCATTGGTGGTAGATTAGGGAGGTGAGGGAAAGCATTGACATCACTGGATAAAAAACAAAATGGAGTTGCATACTTCTTTTATGTCGGTAGGTATGGGATAATTAGCATTTGCAGTAAATAAGTGGGCAACAATTTAACAATAAGGAGTTTCATGTCTGCCAATGGAGGTGTTGGAAAATTGCCCCCATCTTTCAAAGATGGCTTATCCTCCTAGATGCATGAGACTAGGCTGGGCTCATATTCAAGGCAAAGAGTTGCTAAGGAAGCTAACAGCCTGGAACTTAACACCTGCCATGACCTGCCCAGGTAGCAATCTTTCATCAGACCACCCAGGGTAGTTACTCCTGGTCACCCTGCCTGCCAGGACTGCACTTGGTCCCCAAAGCTGGCCTGGCCTACTTGTACTTTTTTTGTTACCACTAAGCATGGCAAAGGGAAGTCAGATGTTTGGGAGGGTCAAGTCCTAAGTCCATCATTTTAATAAAAAGTAAGGGCGTTTCAGCCACGCTATTTTCCTCAAAACGTGATTCTGAGTCCTAGACATTAGAAAAAGAGAGCTCGCTACAACCATGAAGGAGAAAGTACATTTCTCCATCACTAAAAATATATTAAAAATAACTCCCAATATCCTATTTAAAAAAAACACACCCCACGAGTGACGCATATTAACACAGCCCACAAAGACGAAGGACTGCTTCAGAAGCCACTAGCTAGGGGCCTCCCCCACCCCCGGCTGGCGGCGTCCTGCGGCGGCACCGAGACCCGAGCCGCCGGGAAACTCGAGCAGAAGCCGCCTCCGGCCCAGAGCCGCCTCCGCCGCCGGCCGCGCCGGAGTCCCGCCCCTTCAGGTGACTGACGGCCGCATCCGGCAATGACGGCGCGCAGGGGGCGGGGCGAGGCGGGCGCGCGGAGGGATATTGCGCCTGGAGTCTCCGGCTGGCGAGCGACGCCATCTTGTCGAACGCCGCCCCGGGGCCGCCATGTCGGTGAGGAGCAGTCACCGCCACGGCCACTGTCCAAACCCCTGCGTCGCGGCGCGCTCACCCGCCCGCTCCCGAGCCTCGGCCGCCGGCGGCGAGTAGAGACTAGCGTGGCGGCGCCGGCCGCGGCCGCGCCCGTGTGTGCCGAGAGCGCATCTCTCTGGCGTGGTTGTTAACAGACTGGAAAGTCTGTGTCTGTGTCGCTCACTAGTAACCGTGAGTTTTTACCGCCTCGTTACGGCGGGCGGCCGGGGTCCCGCGCCCGCAGACCGGCCCGCAGCCCCGCCCCGCTCCTGACCAAACATGACAGACTGTGAACACGCAGGGCGCGGCAGGTCGGAACCTTGTCTGTCTGTGTGTCGGAGGAGAGGGCTGGGCGGGGGCGGGCGGGCCCTGTGCATGACCGAGGCATCGCCGGGCCGCCGTGCTGGCCGGCGCCCGCCCGGGGAGGCCGGCTGGCGGCCGCGGGGAGGCCGCCCCTCCCGTCCGGCCCGGCCCAGCCCGCCGCGCGGGTCCTTCCGGCCGCCCGCCCCGCCCGCGCCCGCGCGACCCCCGCCCACGGCGGCGCTGCGGGCCCGGCCAGGCGGGCCCGGCCACGGATTGGTAATGACTGGTGTGTGAGCGGTACCCTGGCACACTCCGAAAAATAAACATGTTTGGGTTTTTTGTTTTGTTTTGGTTTGGTTTGGTTTGTTTTTTTTTCTTTTAGGAAATAATGGAAGCAAACCAACAGGCCATGTTATCTGAAATGGCAAGTTTCAAGTTTAAAATCTTAACACATATCCGCAGGCTTTGCCAACCTTGGTGTAGCACTTAGTGGAAACTCCATGGATTATCCCGTCTAGCCCAATCTTCTATGATATGTCACCTGAACATGTAACTGAGGTGTTGATTTTTTTAGTTTTGCTTTACCTTTAGAGGCATCCTCTTAGTTCCACGTAAAGGTTGGTGTTATGCATAGAGTTTAAATAGGGTAAAGAGCGTGCAGAACTTTTGATGAGGTTTCTAACCTAGAGTCTAAGCGGTGAAATGACATTTGGGTCGACAGTGGACCAAATAGACCACAGAGGTCTTATAGGGTTACACAGTAACGGAGCTGAAAGATTCCTATCGCCCGGGGCCACCTAGCTGTTGTGTTCTAACATCTTACTTAGCACAAGGTATTCCCGTGTTTGTGGCGATGCTGGTGTCCACAGACCGCTGGGCTGCCGGTCCTGTCAGATTTAGCACCTGTAATTACATGGTCTGTGTTTGCTGCACCGTCCAGTTAGCGTGAGTGCACTCTGTGATGCTGGCACAATGCTCTCACCGAGCCATTTCTCAGAATGCATTCATTCCCTTTGTTAAGCAGCACGTGCCTGCCTGTACATTGACATCTTAATGATTAGGAAGAAGGGCTTTCCTTCTCTAAAATTACCAGAACCCACTGAATGTGACTGCAAAACCCATTGCATCTGATTCTTACATGTAATATATTTAAAAATCTAGAATCTAGCAATTCTTTGGGAATAGAGATAATCAAAAGGACACCTGGTACATACAAATTGCTGAAGTTCTACCAATAGACTCATGTCTGCTTTCAGCAGCATTCCAAACACTTCAACACACACGATACAGAAGCAGAAATCACAAGCATCACAGAAATTTGAAAATTTAAAATATCTGGCAATTGACATTTTTCATGATTTATTTTTACAATGTCTTACTAAAATAAGAAAATTCTAGGGATGGGTTGAGAGAAATTTCCCACTCAATGTTTGTAGACAAACCAAAGATAAGGTTTTGCTTAGGAGCCAAAAATAATTTTTGTGTGTATGGAAGAAGAAAATCTGTTCTTTGTTCACAATATGTAAAATTATTCTATGTATTGAAGAAACCATGGCACCAAATTCAGGTGTCAAAATAATTTTGCTAGTAAGGAACTTTAAAAATAATGAAAATTTAAAACACTGAATCAGAAGTTAAAATTTTTTTTAAAGAATTCTTTGTAAGATATATTAATAGCTTAGTAGGAACCAAAGATTAGTAGTAAGCTTATTTTCTATTAGGACTAAGAAAATATTTTCTAGTAATTTCTGAAACAAGGTTAGCTTATTAAGTGGCAGCATTATTCTGAGGCAAAAAGATGTGTTTTCCACACTTTTTTTTGGTCAACCTACATGAAAAAAAAATCAAGAAAACATAGTGAACTAGGAGTCAGAAGAAATTATTCTAGTTCCAGCTTTGGTACCATTTAGCTTTGTGAACTTGAGCAAGCTTGGTTTCTTAATTGCTAAAAGGGTTCTACGAGAATGTTTCAGGTTCTCCAAGATCTTGTTCTCAATCTATCGAGAGCTTTTTCAAAGGTGTTGATGTTACTGCTATGTCTAAACCTCAGCCTGTGTTTAAAGTTTTTAAAAGCTCAAATTATGCTAAGATCTTATAATTTGAGAACTACTATACTAGATCAGTGTTTCCAAACTTAGCTAATCATCCAGTCACTTTGAGAAATAAAAATTTCTGTCCTGCTTAGAGCAATTGAGTCAATTTCTGAGGAGAATTGTGGTGATCTGTATGTTTAATAGGCTCCCTTGAAGTAATTCTTAAGAAATTGGGGGGAGGGGGATGGACTAATATATGGAATCCCCAAATATTCTGTGCTTCTTTCTTACAGTTATACTGTAATAAAAGTTTATGTTAATTAGATGGTGAGGATATATGAATACTGGTATTTGTGGCTATGCATTGTCTCAAGGACATTCTATTTCTGACATTCCTGAAAATGAAGGTATATTGTGAGTGCAGGAAAAACTTAAATCTATGATTTTTTATTCACTACTTTGATAATACAAGTTAAAATATTACTATTATACTATATATATGCAAATGAGATTCTAAATGGAAATTCACATAATGCACATTTTTTTCTATTTAAATTTTAGTTTTCTTGCACATGTTTCATTTGGTGAATATTTTGCACAAGATTTGTTTGCCAAATGAGTTAACTTTAAAAAAAAAAAATACCCATTTGGTGTACTTTCCTCTAAATATATAGTATGGGACAAAAGTAGGTCTAGAGTTCATTTGGAAAATTTTATAAATAATAAACAATAATACAAGAATAAACTGTTTTGCATCCTCACCACTGTAAACCTACTTTTGCCCCACTCTATTTTCATGCTTGGAGTAAAAACACTTTTTATAAAGTGTTAACAGTATTAAAACACTTATAAACATGTAGACATATAGAATATTAATGAGTAAGTAATTACTAATTACTTACTATTAGTAAGTAAGAGGGCTTCTGCCTAGATCTTTAGAAATAAATAATAGAGGTTGGGAGCAGTTAAAGAAATGAAATTCTTGTCTCTTTTTTCCATTCATTTCTTCCTTTCATCCAGTTCTCTTAGGCACAACTCCAACCACCTAGCTTTATA